ACCTTGGCCAACCTCAGGAAAGTCTGGGCTGTGGGGGCGGGGAGTGGGCCCCTGCTTAGAGAAAACAATTTCCCTTTTCTAGAGGCTGTGGGTCATTCCACTCCTTTTCTTGGCCAAGCTTTATCTCTGCCTAAGAATCCATACAACTCCCCAGGGGCTCAGACTACACAGCTGCTCCTCCTTCTCTTCACTGATAGGTCTGAAATGGGTCTGACTCAAAAGTTTGTTTTAAGCAAGCATTTTGTCTGAGCTTCAGTGCTGGCCCATTTTCAGATGTACTGAAGAAGCTGGGGGTGTGGAGAGGCAGCAAATTCACCACTGCTGATTCTTCTCTCCAAAGACAGGCCAGAGTAGTGACTCATGCCAGGTCAGGTCAAGGGTGGAGGAAAGGGACCAGCCTTTGTGACCTCCCCACCCCCATGTGTGCCAGACTGGGTGCCATTTTCCTAGGGATAGGAAAGGGTGGCAGGCCTGGAATTCCTTAATTAAGAAAAAGGACAGTCAGGGAAGGAAATGAAATATATCACACTTATTGAGCACCTCTGCCATGAGCCACACTAGTGTCCAGATGAGGATTTTTTTTTTTTTTTTTTTATGTTCAGATGCAGACCCTACCCTCAGGGACCTTCACCACTGAATCAAGGAGACAGCCACCGCACAGTGTGATGAATCAGAGAATACAGAATCAGGGACAGAGAACAAGGCAAGGAAGCACCAATCTTGCCTGGGTGGTGTCAGGGGAGGCTTCACGGAGGAGGTGACATTTGACCAGGGTCTTGCTGGATGAGTAGGAGTTTGCAAGGTACAGGGAATTGTGCATTCTAGGAGATAGTGAACTCTAGACAATGGAAAAAACTAGCTAGGAGGTGAGATGGGAACTCAGTTGTGTCTGAAGTACAAAATTCCAAGGTAGGGAGGAAGCAGCTGGAAGTGTGTAGTGTGGGAGGCCCACCCAGAGCAGGAAGGCTTGAGCGCAGCAGAAACGGGCTTGGAGAGGGTATTGGCGCCCGCCCAAAAAAAGGTAGGTGATTGCAGCAGAGGCCAAGCCCAAGGTTGGCGCGGGCTCAAGGGCTGGAGGCCCTTGGTCACGTCGTCACCATGGGGGCTTCTCCGCGGGTCACTGTCCACCCACCGGGATTGGGAAGGGGTGTTGGCAAGCCTGGCTGGGGTGGTGATGGGGCGGGGCGGAAACCAGCCAGCGGCGGGGAAGGAAAGGCCAGCCTCCGCGGGCGATCGGAGCTGCGGGCCGACCTCCCTGGCTTGGGCTCGTGCGACACCAACGAAGCGGCGCTCGCGAAGACAGGTAGGACCGCGGAGGGCTGGAGACTGGCGGGCGCTCGGCGGCGCACTCCCGGGTTCTGCAGAAACGCGCCCCGCCTGGCTCGCGGGGAGAGCGCTGTCGGAGGAAGGGGGCGCGCAGGACCGGGCCACTGCTGGGCACTGCGCGCCCCCGGCCGAGGGGAAGCGCAGGGCTCCGCGAGAGCTGGTACTGGGGGGCCCCCTCGCCTTCTCACCTCACTTTCGCCGGTTTCCGGGCCGCCGCTGAGGCGAGGCGCCGCGGAGACCGAGCGTCCCCTTCCGGAAGTGCCGCTGGGACTGTGGGGCCGGGGCGCCGGAGCCCTGGACCCCCGCTGCGGCCGCACCTGCCCATCCTCCTCGCGCCTCACGTGGGAAACGGCCCCTTCCGCCCCTGAGAGCTCGTGGGGGGCGCACGACGCGGGGCGTCGTTCCGGCTCTGGTGTCCGCTGGGGGCTGTAGCGTTGCAGCGTCGGGTGCGAGTCCGGGGCAAGCTCCCCGCGGGCAGGAGCAGACCCTCCGCGCCGGCGTCCGCTCCTCCTCTCTCCGGTTCCTGCCCGCCGCCTCAGACCTCGTAGCGCACAGACGCGCCTCTCGAGCACCAAGTACGAGAGCCCGCGCTGCCCGCTCCGTGCGCGCTCGGCCCTGCCCGCAGGCTGCAGGGAGGTCGAGGCTGCCCAGCCGCAAACCCAGGGCTGGCCCTGGAGTCAGACAGGTGGTTATCGTTTTGGCCACCAAATGAGTTGAAAAACACTGAAGTTTCCAGTCTTTTGGGACTTTGGAATTGCAGGTATGGAATCGTGGTCCAGCGACAGTTGCAGCAGTGGTGGTAGTCGTGGTTGCAAGTATGTTGTCACTGAATTTCGTCCTCTTTCTGTCCTTTCCTTCGTCTCTCACTTAGCTACGCTCACCCCGCCCTCAAGGCCTGTCACCTTAGCTTCTCCAGTCTTCAGCCCCAAATGTGGTTCCTATGATAATCATCACTTTTTTTTTTTTTTTTTTTTACATTTTAAGGAGCTTTGGTGGTGCAATGGTTAAGTCATTTGGCCACTAACCAAAATGTCGGTGGTTTGAACCCACCAGCCGCTCTGCGGAAGAAAGATGAGGCGGTCTGCTTCTATAAAGATTTACAGGTTTGGAAACCCAATGGTGGGTCACTATGAGTCTGAATCAACTCATTGTCCGTGAATTTGGTTTAGCTTTGGATTGTAATAATGCCTGCTTCTCATCCCTCACCGATGCTGATCTAGGAGCTGCAACAAAGCAGAGGCAGGGGCCTGGCAAGGGTGCAGGCAACACACCACCTCCCTCATCCCTGCTAACCGCAGGAATCTCTGATACGATTACGTGAAAGTGACTAAATGAGTCACTCTGCAAATTAACGAGTATGTGCGTGGTTAAATGTGCCATGTTGAATTTTGCTGGACTTGATTTATGCATGCTTGGTTTTTTCCTTGTAAACTAAAGTCACTTAATACTTTTTTAAAAATTAAAGAGGACGCTGTTGGAATTATAGGTTTTTAAATTCAAACATACACGTTAATACTTGCTTATCTAATTTTTTTACTGAGCAGTGCACATTGTTGATGTCATTCTCCCACATGGTGATATGCACACACATGCCACCGATGCACACACTTGCATGCACACATTGCACAATACTGAGCTCACATACACCACACTGCACACAAACTCATCTGCACATATACTGCATACATGCACACTATTCTGCACACACACTTCACACACACTGAACATGCAGACACATTGCATGCACACACACACACCAAACTGACACTGTGGACATGCATGTACTGCACAAACACTGCATACTCACTCCATACATTGTCCACGCATGCTGCACTCTTACTGCATACATGCTGATTATGAAGTCTGCTTGTGACATTTCCCCTGTGCAGAAAAATGCTGGCATGGGTGTAAAAACTGACGGAATGGCTGTTTTAAAAGGAAATCTATTCCTGAATTAAAAATACAGCAAGCCTGATTATTTTGATCTGAACTCTGTTTTTCAACAACAGGAGTATTTTTAATTGCCCTTGTTTCCTCTCTGAAATACAGAAACAAGCTGTTCCTGAACTTCAGCCCGTTGTAGATGGGCCTTTTCCCCACCCCTGTGTGAGTTGCACAGCTGGTGTGGTGTACTCATGTAATATTCGCCGCTGTGCGCTGTGGCGATCCCTTTCATCGCTCTGTGGATTTCCTGTCACCTTGGGCAACGTGGAAGGAATGTCACACACTGCCGCACACTGAGGACCGGTGGTGCCCTGCCCGTTCTGGGCTGCCTGCTAACCCCCAGCCTCTCCCACAGGCACAGGTGGAGATGAAGCTGCTCCTGCTGGTGCCCCTGCTCCTGGCCTCATTGCCCGGGTCCTCGGTGAGTGTGGCCCTGCCTGAGCCCTGGAGGGCTTGCAGGCAGAGGTGGGGAGGGCCGGAGGGACTTAGTGGGAAATCTGGGGAAGATGCCCAGTGGCTTGGACTGGGGAGGAGTTGCCCCACAGCAAGAAGCAGCCGAGTGCTGGCTGGAGCCAGTAGCAACAGCATTCCGAGAAGGGCAGTGCTGGGGAAGATGGGGTCGGAGGAGGTAAGCCCTCAGCCTCGAGTTCATTCAGAAAGGGGTGAGGACCTTGAATCACTCTGGCCAAGGTGCCCTGCACTAAACTGGGCGGCTGGTGCACAATTTACAGGAATGGCAACTTCCTACTTCCTTCCCCTGTTGGAATGTGGGTGCACTCCTCGATCCTGGGTAGTGCTTAATTAACCACGTCCTTGAGGTGGTCTTCCAGGTGGGGTGGAGGGCATGCTGGGACCAGCCAAAGTTCAAGACTAGGTGGCCCACTCCACACCTGCATGGGACCAAATATGGCTGCCCCCTTAGCTGGACTGTGCTTGGACCTAGAGCTTGGGGCTCCGCTTTCATTGGGGTTTTAGCATCTAGAGCAGGTAGGCCAATAGAACTTACTGAGATGATGGAAATTTGCTGTTCAGTAAGATAGTCCCTGGTGGCCATTGAGCACTTGAGATGTGGCTAGTGTAATGGAGGGACTGAGTTTTTAATTTTATTTAACTCATTAAATTTAAGTAGCCGCATGTGTCAGTGACTATTATATTAATGAAGGTATAGAGTGTGGATACAGGAAGCCAGCTGGTGAGCAGAGTAGCTGTTTCTAATGGGGACCCAAAGTAAGGGCTCCCTGGACAGACTGAGTCCTGAGGACGCAGAGGGATCCTTCTAGATCGAAGGAGTGACCTTTCGCCAGGTGAGGGTCTGTGGAAATGAGTGCTGCTGGGAGGCTCCTCGTGGCAGTGGCAAAGTGGAACGTGCAAAGGCAGCCAGGCCACTGGGGTTCCCCTGGGGGCTGTCCAAAGGAGAGACCCACAGCCTCCTCAGCTTCTGAGAGGCAGAGGAGGGACCCTAGAGAAAGGACCTAAACGGTTTGCTGCTTTGGGGAGGGCAGGGAAGTGTTGCCTCTAGGGAAACGTGAGTCTAGGATGAGGATGAGAAACTGACGAGGGCTGTGTGGGCCAGCAGCAGGTGTTCCTGCCGGAGACACGAAGATCCAGCGAGGGCCACAGAGCAGTGGGCGGGTAGACCCGCCCTTCCTGACATCCCTCCACCACCCACCAGCTTCCCAGGTCACTAGGACCCTGGCTCCACTTCCGAGGTCCTTTGACACATGCTTGCTACTGGTGCCCCAACTGCTGTGGCTGCAGCTCAGGTGCAGGGGCCCCGGCGAGAGTGTGGAGACCAAGGATGAAATCCCATGACCACCCCGTAACAGTTGTGTGGCCCGAGCAAATCACTGATTCCAAGCCTCAGATTCCTTAAATTAGGGGCTAATGAAGCCCGGCCCACAGGTTTGTCATGCAGATGACACGAGTCAAGGTTTACGAAGTGCCCTGGGTCCTAGAAGGCCCTTTCATCTTTAGAAACACTCTGAGGGACCTGCTCAAAGGTTGTGAGCCTGACATGGGGCTGGGCTTGACCTGGGCTCAGAACTCTTCTCCCCTCAGGCTGTGTGTGGTGGGGGAGTGTGGCTCAGGGCTGACAGCTGCTTCCCGATTTCCATTTCTGACTCTTGGTTCCTTTGACCAGTTCTCGCTGGGGGCAGGAGCCACTGTTTGATCCCAGAGCACCTTCTCGGGATCCCCTTCTGTGCTGACAGAAAGAGTGAATAGATAATAAAAGAGATACAAAGCAAAGACATAGCCCCTGGCTACCTTCTCCCCAGAGGCTGTTCAGGACAATGCTTCAGGAGGACACCCACACCCACACCCACCTACACACACACACACACACACACACATGCATGTTGGAGGAGTCCCCTGGGAACAGCTCAGGCAGGAATGGGGTGGGGGGCTCCTAAGTTGCTCCAGGTGGAAGTTTTTGGAAAAGAATGGATGGGTGTGGTGTTTTGTTTTCTTTTTCTCAGTCTGAAAGCTAAGCACTGCATGAGGCAGGTGAGGACAGGCCCAGGTGAGGTTGGAATGGACCAGCTCATTATGGCTTCTTCACACAATGGTGCAATTTATGGTTTTGGTAATTACAGAGAAACAGAACTGAATGTTTTCTTTCCTCTGAGGGACAGTGTGGTGTGGTGGACAGAGGTCTAGGAGCAGGAGCAGGGGTCCAGGATCCAGCAAGTGGATGCCTACCTGCACCACAGTTGCTGGGCACCTGAAACAGGGTGGTTATCAGGCCTAAGGCATTTGACTGCTAATTAGAAGGTTGGCTGTTCAAACCCACCAGCCACTCCGTGGAAGGAAGACTAGGCAATCTACTTCTGTAAAGATTTACCGTCTTGGGAACTCAAAGGGGGTCACTATGAGTTGGAATCGACTCTATGGCACTGAGTTTGGTTTGGTTTGGTTTATCAGGCACCTCGCATGGACCTATATTTAGAAGACCCAGTGTTTAGGCCAGTCCAACCCTCCCTTCTCTCCACCCCCAGTGGTAACAAGATGGCTCAGGGGCTGAAGTGCTCACTGTTGCCTTGGCCACACCAGTAAGCCCAGCACAGTTCTGGGGAAGGGTGGGCTTGGGGAGGCTCAGGGGGCTGTGCCATAGAAACCGAGACGGACATCAAGCAGGTCTTAAAAACCCACTGCTACCAGGTCAATTCAACTCATAGTGACCCTATAGGGCAGCTCTGGTAGCGTAGTACCTAAGGCATTTGACTGCTAACCAGAAGGCTGGCGGTTCAAACCCACCAGCCACTCCTCGAAAGGAAGATGGGGGCAATCTACTTCCATAGTGATACTTGCATTGGAAACCCAAGGAGGCTTGCTATGTGTTGGATCCAACTCGACAGCAGTGAGTTTGTTTTTTTGTTTAGGGCAAAGTAGAACCACCCCATGTCTCCAAGTCTGTAAATCTTTACAGATGCAGACTGCCTTATCTTTCTCCCATGGGGCAGCTGGTGGGCTCAAACCGCCGACCTTCTGGTTAGCAGCCAAATGCTTTAATCACACACCCCCAGAGCTGCTTAAGCAGGCCTTGGTCAGAGGCTAATTATTAACCAGGCCAGGTCCCCTGAGGGCTACTTCCTGAACACTAAAACTGGGGTGAGAACGGTTTGGGACTGGAGGGCACTGGAACCAAACGTGGATGCTGTTGTCTTTGGGGACCCCCTCCCAGTCCACTTTTTAAATAGAAATAAATCCAAATAAATTTCGGTTTAAATTTTGTTGAGACTATTTTAACATTATAGTTCACCAGATTTCAAAAACTTGGAGATTCTGTCCCAGTTTGAACTGAAGGAGTAGATGGTTTTAAAAAGGGAAAACTAAGACCTTTGGTCTGGCCGCCCTTCCTCCAGGGTTTTGTGTGTGTGGTTGTTCTGATTCAAGGTTCTGGGCTCTGTTACAAAACAAGAATAACTAGGTGTTTTGCATCAGTGAGTCCTTCGTAACCTGAGGGTGAGTAAGCCACAGCCCTCTCCTGGATCCTGGATGTTCGGGCAGACTCCAGGAGGAAGGGTTTGCTTTTCCATTTTAGGACATGAGTTTTTTGAAAAATGGGGGTGAGTTTTCCTAGAGATTTTTGGTGATCTGTTTCCAATACACCTTCTGCCTTCTGGCAAAATTGCGAAGTCAAATCTAACACCTGTCCAGCTCCTTTGCACTCCTGTGGTATCTCAGTTGATTCTTGTCTTCCCCAGTGAGGTTAAAAACAAACAAACAAAAACAAAACCACCAAACTGACTGCCATAGAGTCGATTCTGACTCATATTGACCTCCTTTGGGTTTATGAGGTGGTAAATCTTTACGGAAGTAGGCTGCCCAGTCTTCCTTCCATGGAGTGACTGGTGGGTTTGAACCGCCAACCTTCTGGTTAGCAGTCAGATGCCTTAGGCACTTTTGTTGTTGTTGTTATGTGCCATCAAGTCGGCCCCGACTCATAGCGACATCCCCTCCTTGGGTTTCCGAGGCGGTATCACTACGGAAGTAGATTGCCCCATCTTCCTTCCGAGGAGTGGGTTCAAACCCACCAGCCTTCTGGTTAGCAGTCAAGTGCCTTAGGTACCACACTACCAAAGCTCCTACACCACCCATAATCCAGTAGAAGAGCAGAGGCCTGCTGTGAAACTGACCTGCCATTGTCTTCACTTGTTCCTGTGCGGCTTCCTTTCTCAGTGCCTCAGTTTCTCATCTATACAAGGAGACTCATCAGATTGCTCCGAGGACTAAATGAGAGAGCACGCTGTAGCATGTGGACTTCTGATACCAGCTACAAGGTGTCAGATCTTTCTGGTGGGAAACTGATTTGTTGTTATTGTTTTGTGCTGTCCAGTCAGACCCAACTATAGCAACCCCTCCTTGGGTTCCCGAGGCAGTATCACTACGGAAGTAGATTGCCTAACTTTCCTTCCAAGGAGTGGCTGGTGGGTTTGAACCCCCAGCCTTCTGGTTAGCAGTCAAGTGCCTTAGGCACTACACCACCAGAACTCCCACTGATTTAGTCAGAACTTTATAATCCTGTTAAAACCAAACTCAACCCACTGCCATTGACTCAATTCCAACCCATGGTGACCTTCTAGGACAGAGTAGAACTGCCCATAGAGTTTCCAAGGTTGTAAATCTTTATAGAAGCAGACTATCTCATCGTTCTCTCATGGAGCAGCTGGTAGGTTTGATCTGCTGACCTTCTGGTTAGCAGCCAAATGCTTTAATCACAATGCCACCAGCATTCCTATAATCCTATTATGGAGCCCCAAATAACAGTGCTTCAACAAGAGAGATTTTTTTTCTTGCATATAGCACCCTGAGACAGGAAATCAAGGGTGTTCTGTCTTACAAAGTATTCCAGGCTCTGTTAGGTGCCATTGACTCATAGAGACCCTGTGTACAATAGAACGAAACACTTCCTGGTCCTGGGTCATCCTACAGTTGTTACTGTGCTTGAGCCCATTCTTTCAGGTGCTCCGTCTATCCGTTGTGTTGAGGGTCTTCCCCTCTTTCGTTGACCTACTTTAGCAAGATTGCTATCCTTCTGATAACGTGACCAAAGTATAAGAGGTGAAGTCTCACCTTCCTTGCTTCTAAGGCGCATTCTAAGGATCATGTTTTTCCAAGACAGATTTGTTCATTCTGGTATATTCAATATTCTTTACCAACACCATAACTCAAAGGCATCAATTCTTCTTTGGGCTTCCTTATTCATTGTCCAGTTTTCACATGCATATAAGACTATGAAAATGCCATGGCTTGGGTCAGATGCACCTTTGTCTTCAAAGTTCTGTGACTGAGATTAATGATTTAAAGATGTGAGCTGGGTTCCCTGTATGTGGTTTTAAACGTGGCTGAGCTGTGGTTCATTGTTGTTGCTACATGCTACCGAGTTGGTTCTGACTCATAGCAACCCTCTGTACAGGAGAACTAAACACTGCCTGGTCCTGCACCATCCTCACAATCGTTGTCACGTTTGAGCCCATTGTTGCAGTCGCCGTGTCCACCCATCTCACTGAGGGTCTTCCTCTTTTTCACCGATCCTCTACTTTACCAGGGGACGGGTCCCTCCTGACAACATGTCTGAAGTATGTGAGATAAAGTGTCACCATCCTTCCTTCTAAGAAGCAGTCTGGCTGTACTTCTTCCAAGACAGATTTGTTCGTTCTTCTGGCAGTCCACGGTGTATTCAGTATTCTTTGCCAACACTATAATCCAAGGCATTGTTCTTGTGTGGTCTTATTTGTTGTGCAGCTTTCACATGCGTATAAGGCTATTGAAAATATCATGGCTTGGGTCTGCTGCACCTTTGTTTCCAAAGTGACATCTTTGCTCTTTAACACTTTAAAGAGGTCTTTTGCAGCAGATTTGACCAGTGTAATATGTCATTTGATTTCTTGACTGCTGCTTCCATGGGTGTTGATTGTGGATCCAAGTGAAATGAAATCAATTGACAACTTCTGTCCTTTCTCCATTTATCATGATTTTGCTTATTGGTCCAGTTATGAGGATTTTTTTTTTTTTCATTATGTTGAGGGGTAATCCACAGTGAAGGCTGTTGTTGTTGTTGTTGTT